GGCTGCGCCCTTCGGGCCGGCGCCTCCTCAGCAGCCGCGCCTCGTGCCCCGGGACTCGCCCTGCGCGGGCCGCGCTTGAGCCAGCAGCGGGGATGGTCTGAGGCCCTGCTCGGGGCCGCGCCCCGCGAGCCCCCCGCATCTGAAAACCCCAACCCTAAAGCGCCGAGCTAAGCAGCGACTGGCGAAGTGATTTTCAAGGAGCCAGCAAAATGCTGCTTCATTAAATGGCCAAATCCTTATAGCACAACTGCACTAAATGGCTCTCTCAAGTAACCTGACATGAAAAACAGCACAGGAAGGGCAGCCTGCTCGGGGCCGCGCCCCGCGAGCCCCCCGCATCTGAAAACCCCAACCCTAAAGCGCCGAGCTAAGCAGCGACTGGCGAAGTGATTTTCAAGGAGCCAGCAAAATGCTGCTTCATTAAATGGCCAAATCCTTATAGCACAACTGCACTAAATGGCTCTCTCAAGTAACCTGACATGAAAAACAGCACAGGAAGGGCAGAGGTAGGCGTTATAAATGGAGAAAATGGCCTGAGCCAACATTGTCAGTTCAAACGTCCTTGAACTTTGGGAAATTTCCGGTTTGAACTACACCGGTTCAGTGTATTTCCAGTGTCACACTTCTAAAATATAGGTGCTACTAAAGTGGTGTAAAAAAAAAATTTAAAAGCCACAGAAAAGGTCAGGAAAACTCCATAAAGGAGGCATTTTTGTCATTTCCCCACATTATTCAATTCAGAGTCCAGATCCTATAGAGCTGCAGTGAGCCTGAACAGCTCTTATAACATCCCCTAAGATCTTATGTCACTAACATTTACCACACACCAAGAAAGCATACATAAGAACAACCATATTAGGTCAGATCAAATGTCCCAGGGTTCTGTCTTCCGACAGTGGCTAATAGCAGATGCCCCAGACGGAGCCAACAAAACAGGGAATCACTAAGTGATCCCTGTCCTATCACCCATTTCCAACCTCTGACAGAGGCTAGGGACACTCTTCCTATCTATCCTGGCCAGTAAGTTTTGATAGATCTAACCTCCATGAATTTATCCAGTTCTTTTTTGAACCCTGTTAAAAGTCTTGGTCTTCAACATCCCCTAGCAAGGATACATATTTTTAGAATGTAAAATTAGCTGCTTGGCTTAAGTTTCAGAAGTGCTAGTTTTATATGCATGCACTGCCACAGTTGTTCAGCTGTTGTGGAATGAAAAATCTGCGTATTGGGGTCCTTGTGGGTGGTGGATCTTAATTGTAAAAAAAAACAATTTGCATATGTCCACACATTTCATATTTTGTCTTTGATAGTAACCTTGGAACTAGGCTTGGAAGATTAAGGTTTTTGTCAGTATATGTTGATTTCATTGTACACCTACACAAATTAATAAAAATAATTCCATCAATACTAATCAAAATTTAAGTTAAGCACAGTAAGAAAAATACTGCTTGCAAACTTTATAAACCATAAAGTGGGATTCAAAAGTATTGTAACAGCTGCTAGTAGAGCTGGAGCAGAGACATTAAGTAGGTGGGGGGGAGGGATTGGATAGATCACCCCCCTCTTGCAAGCCCCTGCGCTTTACAGCTGTGTGTGTTCATTTTAGGAAGAGGAGGGGGGTACTAAGGTGTAGATTCTGCAAAGTCAGGGTATAGCAGATACAGCCTGCCCCCATAATTTTACACAAGAGTAAACATTTAAATTGAGAACTGAAAAACTCCCTAAAATATTATCCAAAGTTATAAAAAAAATCAAATTCTGCTAAGCCTACTTAACAAAAATGAAGTTTTCTATTGGTGTATATTTAAAACACAGGAAACAGAACTGTTAAATTATGACAAATTAACTGAGTATAAGTGCAAAGAACTACGCTTAGAAAAGAAAGATGAAATACACAAATACAAAATGAGTAATAATTGGCAAGGCAGTAATATTGCAGAAAAAATACTATGTCCTGTCTCAATGTAGAGGCTTGGGTGAGATTAACTAGATTATCTCTTTACCCCTTTCCAACCATACATTTGTAGGAGTATTTGTACTTTGTCAGATAAAACATAGGTGATACTATGGGAAGCAACACATTTAGAATGACTCACCTCTAAATAACATGAAAGTCTGGCATACACAGAATTTAGTCTGACACAAGTACACTACACAGGTGTGAAACCCACAACCATGTGCCATACCCAATTTGATCTTACTCCTTGTGAACAAGTAGCTAGGTTGACAGAAGAATGCTTCTATTGGCCTAGCTAGTGTTGGGGACATGATGTTCCTGTAATGACAAAATGTCTCCTTTGTTGCCCTAGGCTTTGTCCACATTACAGGTTTATGGTAGCATAGCTAAGGGGCCAAACCTATGCTATTATGATTCCCACTGCATAGATCTACTGTTTATAAACTGAAAAAGCCATAAAATAGCAGCCTATGAAATCTTTAGAAGATGTACAGCTTGAACAAAAATACACAGATTAAATCAATAGAAGGCCTTTTATGATCTACTCAAATACCAGATGGATCTTGATTAAGGTTGAGTTTCATCTATCCCATATTGTACGGTATTCTTTGTGGGGGTTTTTATGTAAGCAAGAGATCATTATGGCAAAAATTCTGTTCTGTGTTTGGCATACTTTATTAAGTGCTGCAGAAGACGGTGGTACTACATAAAAGGAATGGCTAGGAAATATCTTTGGAGTTGTGTTACACGATCAGAGTAAAACATCTTGGATAGTTAAATGTTAGCAGTTTATACACGAATAAAAAATTTCTTCTAAAATCTCCGGCGTTCACCAGCTAGATTTTCTCTCTCAAGAGATGAGTTATATCTCATGCTAACTTTACAGAAGGGGAAAATAAGGCACGGAAAGGTAAAAATTTGTCGATAGACACGAAATAGCAAATATCTAATAAAAGTCATTTCTCATATTTTACTTCCCATGAACATGTCTCTCCACTTAACTTGTTTTGGTGAAGGACATGGTAATGGGGGTTATAACAAGATTCAAGAGTTATAAGTTGAAGCTAGATAACTCAAACTAGGGATGTTAAAATCAGATTAATCAACTAATCGAAAGTGGAATTTCCACTGACTATTTGATTAGTTGATAAGGGCACTTTGCTTTGAAATGTAGCAAGAGCCTGCCCAGCTATTGCTAAATTTTACAGGCAGAAGTGCCACATGGAAGAGCACAAGCAGAGGCTCTCGTGCATTTCAAAGATTGAAATGGCAGGTATGGAGCTTGGGGCCAGCAGGGACCAGTCCCCTGCTGGCCCCAAGCTCCATGCCACATTCCCAATTTGAAATGCCGCATGAAGCCGGGGTCACCTGGGAACTCCCCAGCTGATGGCAGGTTCCGTGCAGCATTTCAACAGAACTGAGGGTCAGTTGGGGACTCCCCAGCTGACCCTGGGCTCCACACACGGCACCACTGCACAGCTGATCCTGGACTCATCTGTGCAGCACTTAGTTGACTAGTGTGTCAGCTATCTGACAAGCTTGCTTATCAGATGTAATAGGGATGTAATTAACTAGTTGACTATCTGATAAGCAAGCTTATCAGATACTTAACTAGTTAATTACATCCCTAATTCAAACTAGAAATAAAGCATAACAGTGAGGGTAGGACGGAACAACCTCCACATGTGTGATGGGTTCTCCATCACTGGAAATTTATAAATCAAGATTGGATTTAAAAAAAAAGATAAACTGTCATTCAAAATGAATTTTGGCATGTCCTAGGGCCTGTGTTACACAGGTGGTCAAGACCAGATTATCAGAATGATCTCTTCTTGCCTTGGAGTCTATGAAACATATGGGATTTGCAGAATAACAGGAGTTGCAGTAAGTACAGAGATCACAACATATAAATAGTTCTTGAATGGATGTATAGTATTCAGAAAGGGCTGATTGGTTTGTTATTTTTGTGAAATATTGTTACAGGCTGCATATTAACTCAAGCAAAGCTATCCTCAAAATAACTGAAGTAAATGCATATTTTGTATTCATGAATGCCTAGAATAAATACAAATATGTATATTAAACACCATCGTAAACCAAAATAACATTGTATTTTTCCACACAATGATGTCCACATTTGTTTTTAAATAATCCATAATAATTGTTTGGGGCAACTACAGTAACTTTTTTAGAAAAACTTTTAAAAACATTTTAACTTATAGCCTCAATTTAGATTTAAAACACCATTTTGAGATAAATATTTGGATATGTTTTAACACCATGTATTATCCTTGATAAAATACTTTTACACAAAGGAATTCTTCAGTTACAATCCTGATGAGAATTTCTTCCATTGATGCAACTTGATCAGTTCTAGGTAAACATCAATTCTGTGGACTGTTGCTCTAGGTACATTGTTTCCCAAAAAGCAACTAATACACATTTGGGCATAGCCAGATACACTGTATTCTGTCATTACTGAAACTTCGTAATACATCAGTGGTCTCCAACCTTTTTAACCACAAGATCACTTTTTCAATTTTAGTGCAATGTAAGATCTACTTCAAACCCAAATACCCTGGTCCTGCTTCCTTCCTGCCACTTAGCCCTGCCCCTGCTCCACCCCTTCTCCGAGGCCTCACCCTGCTCACTCCATTCCCCTTTCTCCCCCATCCTCACTCCCTTTCACCAGGCTGGGGTAGGAGGATTGAAGAGCAGGCTCTGGTCTTGGGCCAGGAGTTTGGTGTATGGGAGGGACTCCGGGCATAGCCCAGGGCAGGTGACTGGGATCCATAAGGGGTTTCAGAGTGCAAGCTCTGGAAAGGAGTTTGGGTACAGAGGGGGACACATCCGGGGCAGGTGGTTGGGTGTAGGTGGTGGTTCAGAGCTTGGACAGGGGTTCAGGCTCTGGCTGGGCACCGTTTAACTGAGATGGCTTCCGGGTGGTGGATCAGTGGGGTTAAGGCAGGTTTACTCCTGCTCTGGCCCTGCACCACTTCTGAAAGCAGCTGGCACGTACAGCAATGGCTTCACGGCACCATGTGCTGGCCTTCATCTATAGGCACTGAGCCCACAGCTTCTGCTGGCCACAGCTCCCCATTATTGATCAATGGGAGCTGCAGGAGTGGTGTCTGCAGGCAAGGACCCAATGTGGAGACCTTCTGCTCTGCTTTTCTCAGGGGCTGCAGGGACATGCCAGCCACTTCCAGAAGCAGCAATTACCACAGGGATAATCACTCCAGCCACAACAGGTTAGGCATTGTAGAACTCACTACTCAAAGAATTAAATTTAAGTGTAAGAGAGAAATGCACAGACAAGTAAAAAACCCAAAGCTAACACACTTTGCAAGTAGTAAAACTAGTAACAACCACCACCCAGATATTGGGTGTTGGGTCAGGAGATGAGAGTGAAGGACAGCATGTGTTTATGAAAATGACAGACACACAGTGTGAGCGACAGAGATTTGCATTGCCAAGCTCCTTCCATCCCCTCCTCTCTGCGTGGAAATAAGGTACAGGAGTGAGGGGAGGATGGGCACCCTGACATCAGCACCCCCCCCTTCTCCCTCCCACACCCTGCACAGCAAGCAGGAGGCTCCCAAGGAGCAGCTCCAAGGCAGAGGGCAGGAGCAGCGTGACAATGTGGATGGGAGGAGGGGCAACTGAAGTGCCAGTGCTTGAAAGCTTCCTAGCCAAACCAGTCAGGATCACCTGTCAGAAGCTCCAAGATCTACCAGGAGATCCCAATCTACTGGTTGGTGACCACTGTATTACATGAACCAGTCAACTGGATCAGTATTTAATACTGTCCACTCTCCTCCTCCTAAAAGGTATAGTCTCTTTTGATACATATACATGCTAAAGAGGTGTATACAATATATCCCACTGGAGCACCAAAAATGTGAACTAGCAAACTTATTAAATCTATTTTTTAGAATGAACCCTTAAATACAGTCCTGAAGTAAAATACAAGCAAAATAATCTTTTTTAAAATCTGAAATAAAGTCTGTATTCTAAAACAAAGATCTGTACCAATTAAATACAGAATGACAGAAATAGAATATAAATTACAGTTCTTTACAGTAAATAGTAAAATACTACAGTCAGCTTCATATACACAAAATCAAAGACATAACAGCAGCTTTTCATTAAGGTCCCAGGTATCTCATTCATTTCCTTGGCTAAGTAATAAAGAAAAACAGGTACAGCAGGTCATTCATTTCACTTATTTTCATCACATGTTCCTTTACAAATATCCAGGACAATGTACAGCCATCTACAATATCTACATGTGGAACAGCTCTCAAGAACTCACAAGCATTGTATATATATCCCTCCATCATTTCCATTATTAAAATAGACTATGCAAATTAAAATTTTAGAATGTTCCGTTTTAGCTTGATCATAAACAGTAAACAACAGTGCAAGGTTTGCAATTGTGATCCATTACAGCTGCTTTGTTTCCCCATTTGCCTAAAAGCCATTTTTAAAGGAAATATTGTTCTCACTTCTTTGCAGCAATACTGTTTCTGCAATCAAACAGCCTGGCTTGGATTAGCATATACAATTCCCAACATATAGCCCCGACATTGTTTTTATTTTCAATACAATGCCAAGTCACCACAGTGGCAGGCCTCTTGGAAGACCAAAAACAAAAAAAAAAGACTATTTCAGTGTACTTAAACATAGAACATAAGGCAGCATAGTGCCCAATGACTACAAAAAACATGGCACCAAGCTAGTAGTTAAAACAAATGTTTACAATAAAAACAGGATATGAATAGCAAGAGTGTCAGTCTAATACAAGTTCTTTGGTAATTAAGAACAGCATAGTGTAGTTTTTTCAAATATAGTTTTACATCCTTTTTTTCCCCAAAATAAAATATTTTCTTTTTTTGTTTAAAATACATCTCCCAAATTGTTGCGTAACAAATAGTCCAGTACCTCAAAGTATCTACAAATCAGCTTTAATTGTATTTTAGTGTGCAGCCATATCTGCCTATTGGTAAACTAACTCTAGACGCACAATATATATATATAATATATATATATTTTTATAAAAAATTTCAGAATTAAGTCCATGACTCTACAGAGTGCACATTCAGTATGGACAGATGAAGACTGTACAACGACTTTTAAAATCTATAAAGGTTTCTACACTGTAGTGTGTGTAGCAAGTGCAAAAATACTACGGCTTATTTAATCCAAGACTTCCTGTTCTCTTGTTTCCTAGAAAATGCAGAAGCAGCTGCATCTCCTGATTGAAAGAAGGGTGTTTCTCCTGCTTTAGAAGATGATGATGACCCCTGAAGTATGGAACTTTTCCGCTTCTCTAAATTTGAGGATGCCTGAGATTCTGAAGTGCTACTGCATTTCTTTGTTGAAGCTTGTGCTTTACTGAGGCGGCCTGGTCGAACGAACAAACCGTGTTGTGGCTTGCAGTGGAAATACTCTCTACCTTTCACAGTTCCATCATGTTTCCCTAAAATGGAAAAATAAATACATGGCATTTATTTTTAGTACTCAGCCACTATATGCAGTTTCAGTATGTATATGTGGTGATTATCCTTAAATACACTGTGTACTCAAAACTTAAAGCTTTTAGTGGTGAGATCAGAAGTACATAACACACGTGTAGCAAAGCATTCTGAGCAATGACAACTTTTCACAGTAACTATTAGCTATCATCATCATAATAAGGTTCAACATTTATTCCCTTTACAAAAGTAACTTATTTCACATTAGAATTTATTTAAAAAACAAAATTTCAGTTCACTGTAAGGAGGTTAAGTATGGAGTAAATGACTAATTGTGTACTCAATACAATTTGTATCAAGTACATGATTAGTCAACAAGGGGCCACTGCAGCTCTGCAGTATAAATGTTGTAGAAGCCAGGCATGCAAGCAGCCCAGCTCCTACACTACGTTTAAAAGACAGAGGCACAGCATGGGACCCAGCATGAGCCAGGACTAAAGCAATCCTGGCTTGTGCCAGGTCCCGTGCTGTGCCTCTGCCTTTTAAATGTAGCAAGAGCCAAGCGGCTCTCACTACATTAAAACGGCAGAGCCGCAGCACTACTTTAATGAGGACAGGGCAGATATTACCTCAACCTTCCCCAGATACCAAAAAAAGGAGGGAGAGGGCGGGGGCAGGGAGAGGAATTGAAAGTGCAGGAAGATATTAGGACAGTGCAGATATGCCTGACTGAATGACTGAATGGCTAGGGCTCAGCCAGGGTCTGAATGTGGGAGATCATGGCTGAACCCAACTCCCTAACAATTTCACCTCCCAAAAATACCTGTTCTATACTTCTATCACCATACCCAACAATCCTCCAGGGTTCCTCCCAGGCTCCTGCCCACCAATTACTTCCCTCTCCCTCAGCTCCTCCTGATTCCCCCAAGCACTTGGATTGCTTCTGAGTGGTGTGGGAAATACAGTTCTGTATTGTAGTTTAAATTAATTTTTATTTAAAGTTTTATGTTAATATTCCCAGTAAGGCATCTATTTATCCAAAAACACTAACTAAATCTTTTGGGCTACGTCTACACTATGAATTTTCTCTGCAAAAATATGCAAATCAGGGACTCATTTGCATGAGTCACGCTCTCATTTGCATATTTTCTGCCAATCCATTTTTGCGCTGGGGTTTTTGTACAAAAACGAGCAAAACTTGGCAGAAAAAGGGATTTTTGCACAAAGAAAATATCCACACTGCTTGTTTTTGCACAAAAACCCCAGGGCAAAAACAGATCAGCAGAAAATATGCAAATGAGATCATTTGCATATTTTTTACCGAGAAAACTCGTCTTGTAGATGTAGCCTTGTTGTCTATATTGTTACAGATATAGTTGCTGACAGGTACTGTGAAATAAACTGGTGTAATTATACTGTGCTGTTTTGACATAAAATATACAGAATTTTAAAATATTGTGCACACAATTTACAATATTTTTTGCACAGAATTCCTCGAGTACTTAATGTGTGAAAATTCAGTGTAACCTATAGTACCTTATCTGAGGCTACTTACCCAACTGAATGCTTAGTTCAACTCCAACCCAGATTCCAGCTGAAAAATCCACTGGTCCAATGTATCTCACTATGCCTGTTTTATTACTTCCTACACACACTGGTTCTCCCACTGCCACCCAGCTAGGCAAGGTGTGGGCTTGGTCTACAGAAGCACCATCTTCAGAGTCTGAAACATCCAAATGGTTCTTTGCAATACAATCATTAAGGGAAGAATCAGGATATGTATGACAGTATGAAGTCTCTTTCAGTAACACAGAAAACAGAGGGTTTTCAGTGGCATTTGACAGCTGGTAGTCCACAGCAACAGATTCCAGCTGCGCGTTGTAAGTGTTTTGTGATAAATCTGAGGCACTGTCCACCCTCACAGTTGGTATTTCTTTCCTTCCTTTAGAGGAACCAGTGGAACATAACTTTGGATCTACTGATTGGTCAAAGTCCTTTCCATCTTCAACACCCATGAATTCTGTAAATGAATGATCTTCAAGAACATCTAAAGTATGCTCAACCGTTGCTAGTCGAGATGAAAATTCAATTTTGTCTCGCATATTTTTGCTAGTTGATGAATCTAAACGTGAACAAGATCCAGCTTTATGTAATATATTACAGTTTTTATCAGTGGTATTTAGAGATGGTGAAATCTCTTTTGCTAAGGCACTGTTTTCTTTGAGTGGTGACATGTGTATTTTATCTTTAGCTAAGCCCCTTTCTGGAAATTCCTTGTTCAAAGATCTCACATCATATGCAAGACATGGTCCTGACTGATCACTGGAGTCCAAATCCTTCATCTGATTGGTTAGCTGGTCTGTACTATCACTACAGGGAACAAGCATGTCAGACAGGGTAACATTAGAGGCACTGTGCGAAAAGTAGCCACTAGTAATACTGCTAGTGGTGGGACTGCGGGATACCTCTTTCTCAAGGACACGAGAATTCATGCAATCGGTTTTAGCGGAAAACCATTCTCTGTTCTCCAGACTAGCATTGTAAACACTGAAGTCAGCAAACTCCTCAGGTATATAAGGCCGAAAATTATGAAAACCCTGTGAGCTATTCAGCTTCTTATTAATGGCTTCCAGCTCACCATCCTCTTCATCAGAGTCCTGCAAAAGTAGACAGTCATGTAGGGTTAGCTCTTTATGAAATACTTTCTAAATTAAAGTTACAAAAAAATTATCTTAATTGATTTTTAAGTACTGTCCCACAGATTATACCAGGTGATATTCCAAATAAATTTGTGTCCTAAATATCAAGAGTGAAGAAAAATGATTTGACATCCTTTAAACCAGTGGTGTCCAATCAGTTCTGAAGTAGTACGCCACTATACTGCTATAGTGAACTAGCCACAATCAACTGGACAAATAGCCACATGTGGCTAGTGGCTAGCAGGTTGGACACCATTGCTCTAAACAAAGGATGAGTCATCTCTGAACAGCAATTAATGCCTGAGTAGCTAACAGAGGGGAAAAAAACACTTAAAAGTGCTGCCCTATCAATATTTTCTAAGATGCTCATTTTAATGAAATTCATAGTGTCCAAACTACTGGACATATAAATTCAGAGATGAAAAATAAATAGACCAGAAATTTTCAACTTAATGAGTCATGTTCTGAGTCAAAATTTGTTTCTGGAAACTATATATAATAAGCTGCAGTGTTTTTCATCAAACAGAACAATGATAAATGCATTTATTTCATACAGCAATGTATTTATGAGACTTTCATCACAAAAGATATTTTTCAAGTTTTTTAAGACTTGTCCATGTGATAAGTTAGTGTGCAGGAACCAAGAGCATGAATCCACAGTACACAAGTTTGTCTTGCACTAATTTATTAGCTGGACACAATAGGAGACTTAAGCGCAGCTTAACATACTTTCTGAGACTCGTTTAGAACCCCCTTTCCTACTCTTCCCACCATATAAAAATACTTATGTTCTCAAAATACAAAAATAAACTCAGAGGGGAGACCATTCAAAAAATCTTGAAGTACTTTTGTTTAGGAATTAAGGAAATACCTTATATATTTTACTATTACTACCTTTGAAATTATTTTAAACTCAAGTCAAATATTCATCACACTCAAAAAAAGCAAGTCAACATACATTTTCACTTTTTTAGCTGTTGTATTATGTTTGCCCTAGGTGCCAATGAATAAGTTTTTGTGCAAGTGATATTTTGGGGTCAGTTACCAAGAAACATGGACTTCAGTTTAAATTTTAGAAATGCATTTAAAAAATCCCACATTTGTGTCAGCAGATAACACTAATATATTTCCAGAAATAGTGGTGTCTTGCACTGCAGGATACAAGCAACACCCCTTCAAACAACATTTCTCTAAAAGCAGAATACTGATATTTAAAAAATCCACATTGTAAAATACAAGTGTTCTCTATGCAATGATATCTAACAATGTTCCTATAGTACTACTTCTACTACACTAGGTCCAGTTCAATATATGTAAAACAGAACCCTCTAGAATGTGTCATCCTCACGCAGATAACTCTCTCTCAAGCATAACATAACTAAGGAACCAAAAAAGAGGCCTAAAATGATAACCTAATCCAGCCAAATTCTTAAGCACATGCTCTTAAGATATCCTAATTTATGGCAGGGCTACAACAGTAACCTGTGACTAGTCCCCTGATTTCCCATCACTTGCCTGACGTGAATTCAATAGAGAAGAGAATCTGGGCATTTTTTAAAAATTAGTTTAGGTTTGCTAATTGGATTTTTTCCTCTATAATCATCACCACAGTATCTAAATATCTCAAACATTAATGATTTTATCCTCAATGCTGGTGTGAAGCTGGGAAGTATTATTCAACCCATTTTAAAAATAGGAAAAAAGAGAGACAGAAATTAGAGCAACTTGCTCAGTGTAATATAGGAAGTTTGTGGTACAGCTAGGAATAGAACTCAGGTTTTCCAATCCCACTAAGATGCCTTGACCAAAAAAGAGCATCCATCCTACCCTTTCCTTCAGTTTTCACTTGAGTGGTTTTTTTCAAGATGTTTTTAAAATTCTGTACTCTGAAGTACTCAGAAAAAAAAATATTTAGTTTAGGTATTTATACTGTGCCCATTATGGTATAGGCAGTATTAGTGCTAATTAGAGACGTTAAGGACTAGTCCACAGGATAGTCTACTAGTTGCTTCTTCCCCCCCAGTCCTCCACCTCTATCAGATCAAAGCAGCAAGGTGGAGGGAGAAGAGGAAGGTACTTCAAAGTGGCAGTACCGCACGAGCCCAGGCTGCACGTGCCACTGCCCCTTTGAAACGCTGCGACGGCATTTCAAAGGGGCAGCTCTGTATGGAGCCTGGGGAGTGCTTCCAGCACCCCCTAACAACTAATTGAATAGTCAATTACATGCTACTTAACATCCTTAGTGCTAATGCCACTTATAGCCTGTTTGAAATACATTTTGAAATAAACCTATGGAACTGTAGAAAAAACACACAGAACAACCAGTTTGTTCATTTTGTTAATTTCAGAAAAGCAATTCTGTAAAACGGGTGGGAAACCTCAGGCCTGGGAACCAGATGAGGGCCTTGGCTTAGCTGGATCTGGCCACTGGAAGCTCAGGGCTCCTTCCCCAGCATTGGCGAGCCTGAGCTGGCACTTCAGGCCCATTGCAGGGCTGGAGACACAAAATCTATTAGCCTGGGCCCCACTAGGTTCTGGTGTGCAAGGGAGGTAGCAAGGGTGGGGGAGCAGGAGCCCGTTCTGGGGGGAAAAGGCCCCCAACACTGTCTCTGGGGGGGGACAAGGGAGGCAGGGAGATACTGAGGACTGGGCACAAACCAGGAATCAGCTGATTCCCGGCTTGCGCCTAGTACCTGACGTTGCACCTGTGATGGCTCTTAATATATTTAAAAGGCAGAGCCACACGGGGTTAGATCACGGGGCTAGGAGCTAACTCCATTGTGGCTCCCTCACTTATCAGCTAGTCAACAGAAAATCCATCAACTAGTCAATTAGTTGATTAAACTAAATTTAACATCCCTACTATAAAATGTCTTCAGATGCACATATTTGGAAGGCCACACTTACGTACATTTGACTACAAGATCTCTCTCAGCCACAAGAGAGTTTTCAGTGAGTTTTTAGAAACTTCCTAAATGGTTTGAACCTTTATATTGAAGAACATTGTTCACCATGATCCTTTTCTGTAGTTCAATACTCCTTAACATTTTAACCTGTCACCTGTGCAGTGACAATACATATAGAAAACCTATTGTATGAATAACTCCAATAATGTTCTTGCTAATGGAGAACTGGATCCTGGATTGAAGAAACTGAACGGGATGTACTAAACTTTCACTGACAGGTAAAAAATGTTTGAATGAATACTTTAAGGCAGGTGTTCTGCTGGTCTGGATATGCCTGAGCTGACTAAAAACTAAGCTATGATCTAAGCTCTGTTAGTATTTGGTCAGGTGGTGGTTGTTTCTACATTAGCTATTTAATTAGTTCATATGTCTATGTTTCAATGAGGATTTAATTTTTAAAATATTTTACTTACTGATTTTGTCTTTGGTAGCTAGTAGCAGTACTACAGTGTCACATGAGAGATGTAGGACTGATTTCAGCTATACCTTGTTCTTCAGAGATGAAACCCTGGCCCACTGAAGTCAGTAACAAAATTCCTATTGATTTCAGTGAGAGCAGGATTTTACTCCCGATTTTAAATAGACACAACTACAAGAAGCCACTATACTTCCACGGGTTGAGAAGTTGAAAAGTTATAATGAAAGGAAAATTGGGCCTAATACTGGATAATACATTCCCCCCCACCGCCGCCCAGTACATGCATAGTGTGTAAAACATGTCTGTTTTGTGTATCACAGATCATGTGCTATTTCATCTGCTATGAAACTTTTTTCGGTAGCTTTGCTTGCAAGTTCTTCCTTATGCTTTTTATTTAATAATTATTCTGTTAATGGTCTTTCCTTTAGAATTAATTCGAAACTTCAGAGCTAAAATTCTAACAGCATCTTTTACTCAGATTCCTTACAATTATGTATAACGTTCTTTCCTTACATGGTCACACATTATGCTGTATAGACAGTATTGCAAAATATTACATCTTATATAATTAAGAATGGAGGAAAGTGCAATTATGATCGTTAGTACAGAGTTCAATTTATTTATAGTCTTATTAGAGAAAAATTTTAACAGCCTAAAGTATTTTTTCTTCAGAATTATGGGCATCTATGTTATAGAAAACCTTCAAGTTCATAATAGCTGAACAGCACATCACATTGTATACTGCTGCATGATCATACAGTAAAAGACCCTTTAAATAATGCATACCAATCAAAAGGACAGAGTTAAAGTTATTTTCAAAACTTTAAAGAAAACCACTATTTTCATAGCAAATGTTGTATGTTTGCGGATAACATATATAGTTGAATATGAGTTACTTCACAGTTTTTCAAAAAAAGTCTGAATTAGAAACTAGCCTACACCATCAATAAAATAAGAACCAAAAAGAGAATCCCTGAAATACATGCTTAGTAATGGAACACCAGCCAGGTTTCAAGGAAAGCAAAGGAGCCAGCAGCACCAAAAATACTGGAAACAGAAATTAAGAAAGAACTGCAAGTAGCAAATAGGGGAGCAGCAATAGCACAGGGATTCAGAGCATGAGAAGTGACAACCCAGTTAAACTGTGATATCTTGCTGATGTAAAGAGCCTTCTATACTTTCTCAGAATTTAGCAGAGATAAATCCAGGTATCTAAAAGCAAAGAAACTCTTAATCACAAGTAGCCCTTAGACCCCCAACTATTGTATTACTAACTTCAATCAAGGCACACATTATTTGGTGGTTATACTACTGGTGCTTTACATTTAACTTTCACAGCACCAAGTTTATTTCCCACTACAGTATGAGATCTGCTGGAACAAGATTAGAAAGGTTAATTACAAAGTATTTTGAAATGCCTGCACAATATTAAAGCATTTACTCTGACCTTATTTCATACCATTACACATATATATTGTGCACATACATTATGTAGCCAATACAGGCAGTCCCCGAGTTACACGGATCCGACTTCTGTTGGATCCGCAGTTACAAAAGGGGCTTTTCTCACCCCGGAGGACAGGAGCGGTGGGACGCCCAGAGGCGCCGCAGTCCTGCCGACCGCGTTCTCCGGGGCGAGAAAAGCTACTCTGCATCTCCCTGGCCTGCTGGGGGGGTAGCCCCCCCTCCCCCCAGCAGACCAGGCTTTTCTCTGGACGCCTGGGGCAGAGCAGTTGGGGTGCTGCTGGGTTGCTCCAGTAGCGCCGAGGAGCGGTGCTACTGGAGCAACCCAGCAGCACCCCAGCTGCTCTGCCCCAGGCGTCCTGATTCAGCCGCTGCTGAAACTGACCAGCGGCTGACTACAGGAAGCCCGAGGCAGAGTTGCTCTGCCCCGGGCTTCCTGGAATCAGCCGCTGATCAGTTTCAGCAGCAGCTGACTTGGGGACGCCGGGGGTTCTTAAGTTGAATCTGTATGTAAGTCGGAACTGGCGTCCAGATTCAGCCGCTGCTTAAACTGACCAGCGGCTGACTACAGGAAGCCCGAGGCAGAGTTGCTCTGCCCCGGGCTTCCTGGAATCAGCCGCTGATCAGTTTCAGCAGCAGCTGACTTGGGGACGCCGGGGGTTCTTAAGTTGAATCTGTATGTAAGTCGGAACTGGCGTCCAGATTCAGCCGCTGCTTAAACTGACCAGCGGCTGACTACAGGAAGCCCGAGGCAGAGTTGCTCTGCCCCGGGCTTCCTGGAATCAGCCGCTGATCAGTTTCAGCAGCAGCTGACTTGGGGACGCCGGGGGTTCTTAAGTTGAATCTGTATGTAAGTCGGAACTGGCGTCCAGATTCAGCCGCTGCTTAAACTGACCAGCGGCTGACTTGGGGACGCTTGGGGCAGAGCAGCTGGGGTGCTGCTCTGCCCCAGGCGTCCTGATTCAGCCGCTGCTGAAACTGACCAGCGGCTGAATCTGGACGCCAGTTCCGACTTACATACAGATTCAACTTAAGAACAAACCTACAGTCCCTATCTTGTCCGTAACCCGGGGACTGCCTGTAACCTATGTTTTAGATCAGGGGTGCCCAAACTTTTTTCAAAGAGGGCCAGATTTGATGAAGTGAACAAGCGTGAGGGCCGACCATTTTGCCTGACATTCTTTGAACCATTAAAATTAAATGCAAATTAACTATTTTATGCAAAGTTTATTGCAAACGGCATACTTTTCATTTCGTCACATGGATGACAAATCTAAACAGGTGTTAAATCACTCTGCCTTTCATATCTGAAGGCCAGATAAAAAAAATCCAGGAAGCTGAAATATATGTCAGGAACATTGTAAAGTACATTACATATTATTGGTAATAAAGGTTGTCTGTCAACTTTTAAGTTCAAAAAATATGAACAGGAACATAACACCAAGTATACATGTTGTGTCCAAATATATTTATAACTGATTTAGACCAACTGACATTAACTGAGATTTTACAATGTATTCATCTCAATACATATGGATTCGTTGGGGGCCATAAAAGATAGATATTGCCAAATTACCTGTGGGGCCATATTAAACCGGATCACGGGCCGCAATTGGCCCCCGGGCCGGACTTTGGACATGCCTGTTTTAGATTTAATGCCTTTTTCCTCACTTTTGAAGATTTAGATCAAAACCTTAATGTTAATACTGTCGCCAGTGGTCCAAAGTCTATTTATTTTTCAGTGTTATGATAGGAGGATAAAGAGACAATAATCAAAATGGGAAATAGATATAGAAATGCATAGTATAGAAAGATTATTGCTCAGTATACAAAGGTCTTCTGAAACAGACAAACTTTTGACCTAGGTATTGGTGGGCACATCACTGCAGTTAAAACCAGCTTCTGTTCTGCATACTCTTGTCTACTTATTTATCATGTTAATATTTTAAGAGCTTAAAATATTTTTTTCTTCAAACTTATGGGCATTTTTCACTCCAGCAAAGTCCAGGAACAGCTCTGTTTTAGCTTTGAAAGATTTAGGCTATGTTTACAACAAAACTTAGGCCAACACCCAAAAATCAACAAAAATTGCTGAAGGATGTTCACTTGCTTGCTCTCTTAACAGATGGTCTGCATTGGGGCCACCATCAATAGTGTGAACAATATACTTTGGATATGTATCCCACAATGCAGTGATGTGGGAAGACAGAGCTGATCCCTGCACGTCCTAGGATTCCCTCCGAGATTTCCCACAGTATCCTCAGCTGCTGGGAGCTGCATCTCTCCCTGCTGAGGAATGTCAAAGCAGCACAGCAGTCTCACCTCTTCTCCCATCACCCCACAGTAGCAGTCTGCCTATTGCTGTGATCCTAGTGCAGGATAGAACAGGAGCATTCCAATTATTTGCTCTTTCTTTGTTTCCCAAATAGAGTAGCACATTCATCTGTCAGATACTTCCCCGAGTTTGAAAGGTGAGGCATGTATGCCTGAAGAACAGCAGAGCACTGAACAGAGCCATCAGGATAGTCATTGTGGGATACTAGCAGACATCACTTATTTTGACAAAATAAACAGCAGTATCTACAGTGGGCTCTTTGTCAACAATATAGGGGAAAAGAAAAAAAGTCTCTTCTAGGGTTAAAAGTTTTTTGTAGTGGAAACTGCGTATTTTTCCTGTCTCTGTTTTGTCACCAAAAGGCAGTTTTTAGCAACAAAACTCGGTATAGTAGATATGCTTTTAGTCTTGCCTTGGAACCCATCTTCAGCACAGATCTCCAGTAGCTCTGGGAGTTTTATTTTAACTCTCGGAAGATATATTGTTATGAAGTTGCTAGGATATTTTTGCAAAGTAAATTATTTCAGTGCCTTAAACTATACATTTCTGTAATGGATTCCTTGAGTTTTAACCTGCCTCTTTTCCTTTCACGGTATTCAAGTCAATGACCTACAGTCACAAGTGCTGATCGCTGACACACACTGTTATGGAACTGTTACATGACGTAAAAGTAAAAAAGGCAGCTACTGCCCATGAACAGCAGCCATTTTTCAAATGTGAACACCAAAAGGCCAAGTCTACTTCAGGGTAAGGGCCTGTAAAATTTCATGTAAAAAAATCCATCTAGGTTTTAAATTTGCCTAACAGCTTTCAGACTGAAGCATGTTTTCATAGCTAAGTCCTATGGCATTATATACCATATAAGAAAAATGCTGAAGACCTTTTATAAAAGCTGTGCTAGTGAGAGAAACATGACAAATTTAACCGGACGAGTGAAAAATAATTTCCATGGTCTAAAAATTGTGAAGACAGATTGCCTGCTAATTAAGAGCTGCAATCTTATTTTAGCCACTGCACTTCAACATCAGGCAAGTTTTCAAAGTAGGCCCACCATTAAATACATGGAAACTTACAAATGGGATCATTCCATTTGCTTTGATATACAATCACAAAATCTGAGTAATGTACATAGGTATATCAGAAAAATTTCAACAGTTAGCTAAAAGTACCGTTTATCATTTGCACACTGCAACACTTAAAACTGATTTTTTTTCTCGGATATCTTATCCATGAGTGATCAAAGAATCAGTTGAGTTACTGAAAATTATATATTCACAAACAAACAACCATGAATTATAACTGCGAGTTTAAAATTTAAAAAAGCACCAAATGTACATCAACTTCCCCCCACTGCAGCATAATTGCCAGGGAAAGGACTTTAAACCCACCACCAGGCATTATGACAGAAACAGATACAAACTTACAATCTTCTCTTCATGTATGCTATTGTTTTCTACAGGCATGCTGCTGGCATTACTTCCTGAGGGCACAACACAGCCAGCTTTATGTACCTGAGGTGAAGGCATGCTCTGAAAATTTTAAGACACACAACACATCACATAAAGAAGACACTGACAGCTGAATACAGTATTACACCCATGCAAGTTAGAAAGAAACAAGGACATTTTACTAAAGTGAAACACATAGGCAGACCACTTACTGTGCCATGGCTCCAGTTACTACAGTTAGCAAGAAATTTGTGCAATCTTCTGAACGTGGTTTAGGTTAGAAATAAGGTGTCAGTTATGGATATACTAAAACACCACTTTGAAAAAATACTGCCACTGTTTTATAAAATAAAAAAATTCAAGGGACAATTTTTTAATCAAAGAAAATATGAATGTCATTGTTATGGGGGGGGGGGGGGGGGGAGGCTGAGAAAAGAAATACACTATATACAAATATACTTACCAAAAAAGTGAAACTGGCTAAATTCCAACAAAAGACAGCAATCCTTGAAGTACATACCAATCATTGCTAACACCAGACCACAAACTTTTCATGCTATGGATACATGCTACAAACCATTTGCTAGGTACAGCAAGTTACTCTGTTTAGTCATAAATAAAGAAAGATTGAGAGGTTTGCTTTACTCAAAAAGGTATTACCTCTTGGCTAAGTAGAGGTCGGGTTTCGAGAGGTGTCTTTCTTTTATGCTCCTCTTTTACAGGCATTAAGGGTTTGAAAAACTTTGGTGGCTGAGGAGAAAAAGCTTTAAAGGGGCTGACTATTAAGGCATGAGGATTCTCCGATATACAACCTAAGAGAAGAGCAAAAACATAGCAATTAAGTTGTGTGTAGCTACTGCACTATCTTTTTAAGTGCAAAGAGAATAATGTATAATCAGGGAAGGTCAAACGGTGACAAAAAGGGCAAAACTGTGGCATTTATCCACTGGCCCAAGGAGTGGATAGCACAGAGCTCTATGGGGGAGCAATTGTTCCTCCTTAAGGAACAGTTTCATACATAGGACTGCAGGGCTGTTACAAGCTGCTCCCTTCAGGCTGGAGCAGAAGCTCCCCAACTCATCTTTCCTCATCAGTCACAAGAGAAACCTGCTGTCCTTAGGGGGAAAAAACAGTCACCTACTTGTTGATCTTTGAGAGGTGTTGCTCATGTCCATTCCATTTTAGAGGTGTGTGTGCCCATGTGCACAGTTGCTGGAGATTTTTTCTTAAGCAGTATCCACTTACTGTGGCGCTCCCTGGAGTTATGCTCCCATGCAGCAGCATATAGGCACCACCAGCACTGCACCACACCCCTTCTTGATGGCAACTCCGAGAGAGGAGTTGGAGGGCAGGAAATGGAATGGACATAAGCAACACATCTTGAAGAACAGTTACAGAAGGAAGGCAACCATTTTTTTTTGAGTGCTTGCTCTTGTTGATTCCATTTTAGGTGACTCACGGGCAGTATCCACAGAGATGGGCTCGGAGTTCACAGCTTAGCTGCTTGCAGTTCTGATCTGCCAAAACCAGCATTGCCCTAGGACACAAAGGTATGGACAGATGGCCTAGGCGCTGCTCTCCTTATATCCTGAATCAGCATATATGTCAGAAAGACTGCAAAAGAGGCCTGCAATCACTGGTGGCAGCACTTTTGCTTGGTCATGGCAAAAGTGAATCGAGACTATGATCCAAGAAGAAATTCTGCGAGTGTATATGAGGCAACCATTTATCCTGTTGGTCACCGCAACGAACAACTGGGTCGACTTACAAAAGGACCTGATTTTATCAATGAAGAAGGCTAGAGCTCTTCTGATATCCAAGGCATGGCACCTACACTCCTCTCACAATGTATGCAGGTTTGAGAAGAAAACCAGTAAGTAAATGCCCTGACTTGAGAGACACTAAGGGTTTGTCTACACTAGCCCCCTAGATCGATCTAGGGAGGCTAATGAAGGCGATCAAAATGGAAAATGAAGCGCGGGATTTAAATATCCCACACTAGATTTGCATGTTCCCAACCGGTCACCATTTTTAGAAATTGACTAGCCCGAAGTAACTGCCCGCGTCTACGTGGCAGTGAAATGTGATTCCGAAATAAACCCTAACTCGAATTAGCTGGTAAACCTCAATGCAGGAGGAATACAAGCTAATTTGAGTTAGGGCTTATTTTGGAATCCCGTTTCACTGCCACATGTAGACGCGGGCAGTTACTTCGGGCTAGTCAATTTCTAAAAATGGTGACCGGTTGGGAACATGCAAATCTAGTGTGGGATATTTAAATCCCGCGCTTCATTTTCCATTTTGATCGCCTTCATTAGCCTCCCTAGATCGATCTCCGGTCGCCCTCAATAGCCTCCCTAGATCAATCTAGGAGGCTAGTGTAGGCACACCCTGAGAGATAACGTTGAGGAGAAACACCGGGTGTGATCTAAACTAGATTTTGTCCTAGAAGATGACTTGGTACAGCGGTTTCAACACGATCCCCCAAATCTCGATACAAGGTGGGACAATGTCACTGCAACTAGCAATGTGACCTTCCAGAAAAGGAGGAAGAGGGAGCACAAAGCCATATGCTCGAAGGGGGAACCTGTGAGCTCTGATAGCACTAAGATCTCATCCCACCAAAGGACAGGATCCCTGATGTGCAGGTAGACACACACTAGGCGTTCAGGAATCTGGACATGGTATACTGAGTGAAGACCAACAGGCTCTCAAATGACATTTGGAAGGCTGAGATGATGACTAATTGGACCTTGATCAATGAAAAGATCAAGTCTTGGAGCTTGAGATACAGGAGGTAATTGAAAATAAGCTGCAGAGTAGCCAGTTCAGGATGTACACCTTTATACATGATCCAGCAGGTGAACAGTTTCTACTTGACCAAGTAAATCACACTGATGGAGGGCCCAGGAGGATGCTCTGTACCTCAACTGAACAGCTGCTTCTGCACGTTCAACCATATAGCAGCCAAGCTGTGAGATGTCATGCCGCCAGGTTAGGATGTAACAGACTGCTATGGTTCTGGGACAACAGGTCTGATCTGAGAGGTAACTTGAATGGGGTGCTAGTACAGCAAAGGCAGCGCTATAAGGATGATCCACGCCCTATCCTGTTTGATTTTTGTGAGTGCCCTGGGAAGTAACTGCAGTGGGAGGAAGGCATACATTAGGGCAGCGGTTCCCAACCGTCGGTCCCTCGACTGGTTCTAGGCCTCAAATCGCTAGTTGCCAGGCTGCGGCAGCTCTGGGGGCCCGGGCTGGGATATACTGCCCAGAGTCTCCCTTCCCACCTTGGCTGCTGGGAGAGGCATGACCTGCCCCGCCTCTCAGCCAGCCAGCACTAGGCAGGGTCGGGGTCTCCTTCCTGACGTGGAAGAGCAGTTCACAGCACGGTGGGAGAGCCACACAGAGTCTGATATGGCAGCTTTAGAGCAGCCACGATCTGGGCCGCATCGTTCAGCTGGTGGCTGGGAGGCAGTGCAGGGCTAGGTGAGGGGGCAGGGTAGGCACTGGGGGCTCCAGGAGGGGCTAGTGGGCTGGGAGTGGGGGGCTCTAAGAGGCAGAAGGCTGGCACTGGGGGGCAACAGGGGGAAGCTAATACCATGGGACTCTGGGGGCAGGACTGGTACTGGGGAGCTCTAAGGGGTAGAGGGCGGACACTGGGGCATCTGGGGTGGGGAGATGGCACTGGGGTGCTCTGGGGATGAGGCTAATATTGGGAACTGGGGGCTGGCACGGGGGGGTTGGGTGCAGTAGGGCTCTGGATACAGGACGGCGGCACTGGGGGGTTTGGTGGGGGGGGCTAGCAAGGCATTTGGAATGGGAGGCTCTGAGGGCAGGAGGCTGGCACTGGGGCAGAGGGTTGGGTGCATGGGACTCTGGGTCAGTAGCTAGAGCTCGAGGGGTAGTGGAGAGGTGGGGGACTTGAGGCGTTAGGTCTGGCCCCAGGTGGGCTCAGGCAGCTGGGGTGTACCTCAGCCCCCAGAGCCGCTGCAAACAGCTGGCTTCAGCTGGAGCAGATGCCCACCATGTAGCAACTGCCAGAGCTGAAGTTGGCTATTCGCAGTGGCTCTGGGGGCTAGGGCTTTTGGTGGACCAGTAACATTTTATTTGCATATTCATTATTTGCATGAATATGTAAATATGCAAATAAAATGTTACTGGTCCACCAAAAGTTTGTGAATAGGTTTGCTGGTCTGCAGTATAAAAGTTATTGGGAACCTCTGCATTAGGGCTCCTGACTATGGGAACTGAAAAGCATCCAACAGGGATCCTCTGTCCATGTCCCCATTCAAGAAGAATGTGGCATTTCCTGCTCCCCGGTGAACATGTCCATGCAGGAATTCCCCACCCATAGAAGAGGAAACTGAGCTCCTCTAGATGGAGGGACCACTCGTGACAAGATAAGATGGCCTTATTGAGGCAATATACCGCAGCATTCTTGGTCCCTGGAAGGTGAGCAGTTATGAGATGAATGTTGTACTACAGACAAAAAGTGCCAGAGCTACAGGGCCTCCTGGCATAGGGCATGCAACCTGGCTCTGCCCTGCCTGTTGACATAGAAGGCCATGGCCATATTGTCCGTCAACACCAGGACCATCCTGTCTTGAGTCTGAGCAAAAAGACTTGGCAGCCCAAATGAACCACTCTGAGCTCTCAACATTGATATGAAGGGTGCGGTCATGATTGGGCCAGTGACTGAGTGCTGAGAGCATTGGAGACCAGGGTCACTGATGAGGTCAGGGCAACAAATGGAACTTCTTCCATCACTGCTATGAGATTCTGCCTCCAGGCAAGGGAGGAGAGTACTGTGTCTGGGATCCTGACCATAGGGCCCATGCTGTGTCAGTTAGGAACATAAGCTGATGCAGGCCATGCCTAAAGGGGCCTGAGGTGGAAATGTGCATGTCAGATGCCGTAAGTACATGCTGCCATGTGACCCAAGAGTCTCAGACACATGTGGATAAAAGTGATCGAGTGGGTCTGCCAGCTCGCAATGAGGCCCAAGATGGCCTGGAACCAAGCCTTGGGAAGGAAGGCTGTGCCTGTGTGGAACTGAGCACCACTCTGATGAATTCTATGCACTGTACTAGAGTTAGGGTTGACTTTTTAACATTTGTGATTAACCCCAGGTCACAGCAAATGGAACGTATCAGAGTGCGATGCCTTCACACCTGGTCTGAAGACTGGCCCATAATTAGACAATTCTCTAAGCAGAGGTATATCTGCACTTTTTAATGTCTCAGTTAAGTGCAATATGCACTTGGTGGAAAAATCTTGGTGTTAGACCTCTCTGTAAACTGAAAATGGCAACCGCCCAACATGATTCCCACCTGGGGAATCACCTGTGCCCCAGAAAGACAGAGATATGGAAATAAGTGTCCTTCAAATTAAAAACAGCATTCCAGTTTCCTGGGTCCAGAGAGGCTAGGTAGATGATGCACAATTTGAGTTTCTTGAGGGATTTGTTGAGACGACACTGGTTAGGTACGGGTCTCTCTTTGCCTTGGGAATTAGTAAGTAGCGGGAATAAACCCTGCCTTCCATTCTCCAATAAAACCTTCTCTTCCTTGAGGAGGAGGAGGTTTTTGTCCACTGGAACAAGGCGTTGCTCGTGAGAGGGATGCATGAAGAGGGACAGGGATGTGGTTGGCTGCAAACTGCAGGGCAGAGCCAAAAGAAACTGTGTCTTAACAGCTGGCGATCCGAGATAACACAGGACCAGTCCTATTGGAAAGGGCGAAGACTGTTGAGGAAAGGAAGTTCTGGATCCGGTATGTTGGCTGGGGTGCCATCCCCAGGCACAACCTCAAAGTAACTGCTCTGGCCTCCCCGACATCTGGGAGGGTTCTGTTGAGCAGTCAGACAGAAGAAGGATGGGTAGTGTCTCTTAGGACTCTTGTCTTCTCTCCTGGAAGCCCCCCTCCCTAGGACTGAGACTGAGATAGAGACAGAGCAGGGAACAGCTTGTGGGACAGATGAGAGCTGTGCAGACCTAGGGAATGCAGGGTAGCTGGGGAGACCATGAGCCCATGGAGCCTGGAATCAGTAAGCTCTGAAAAGAGTCTGACAGGTCCTGGATTGTAGTCTTTGCTCTCTTGAGATAACCCAGAAGCCTGCAGGGCATGGTGATTGAAAACACTGAACTGCAAGCTGGCCATTGAATAATTTTTTCTCCCAAATAAGCTCAATCTCTTGGCCTCTTTATTCTTTGGCATTCTGCTGGGATGACCCTAAATGTCCCTTTCATTTACCATGGTCACAGTGATGTCCAGGAGGTGGGGTGGGGATGAGTGTACAAATACTCAAGACCCTTGGCAGAGACTTATGTCTTTTTCGCCTTTTTAGATGTAAGCAGAATAGAAGAAATTTGCCACACAGCCTTGTCTATTTTAGCACCCCTGGCTAAAATAGACAAGATGATCTTTGCTGGTAGGGTGGCCATGAAACTGCAGGTCTGATTCTTCTACTACCTCTTCAATTTACAAGTTCAGTTTCCCCACCACTTATTTAGGGAAACCATGGTGCATCTTGGGGATGCTGGCAAAGGAGAGTCCAGTCACCACTTTGTCTGGGGTTGACGATGACTGCAATACCTGTGTGGGTGGGTTGATGGAGGTGGAAGGTGTTATCCCTTTCTTTCTTCGGGGAGGGCTCCCTTGGTGCTAGGGTGCAATGAACCACCTCAGTTTCCTTAACAGTACTGTGGTCTCACTGCAATGCTGCAGCCAGTCTGCCTGATCCAAGTAGGGAAGGCTGGGAATACTAGAATCAGCATCACAGGCATCCCCTATGGGTTTCAGTACTGTCATTGGAAGGACCACTGTCCCTGTTGTGTTGGCAGCAAAGCTGGTGCTGTTCCATTCCCATGCACAGGGGAAAAGTTGGCTGAAGATGACATGGGCATGGAATGGAGAGCCTGTAAGTGACTATTCTGCTTCGAGTATAAGGGTGAAAGTTTTTACAAATACAACACTTGTCCTTCCCATGGCTCTCTCAGACACCGGAGACAATTGTCACGTGGATCACTGATGGGCACCGGCCTGCTGCATGCTGAACACTACTTGAAGCAAGGTGAGCGGGGCATGTTTTTCCTGTGGCGAAAAACGGCCATTTTTCCAGGGGAAAAAAACCACTCGTAGTGTAGACATACCCTAACTGCTAACTACCATACTTAACTAATTACCAACACTATCAACAAACTATTTACAAAGGCCATAAGGCATGGAGTCTCTTGAAAATGAGAAGACACTGCTAACTCTTGCGACACAAGGAAAGGCACTCCAATTAACCACCACAAGTGGTAGGAAGGAATGAGAGGGTGTAGGACCAATAGTGCCTAATATACTGCTGCATGGGAGTTCCATTCCAAGGGCCATCACGGCCATCCCTGTGGATACTGCTAAGGCAAATATCTTCAGGAACTGTGCGCACGGGCACGCATACACCTAAAAATATCATTGACATGAGCAAGCACTTGAAGATCACAGTTACCAGATCTTTCCTCCCCCTGCCTCAACATTCCTCTGATACTTCTCTGAACTGGTGTGAAGCCTGAATTCACACATTATGTAATAGAATCATGAGCTGATGATCGTGCCCAGCTCTGCAATTTTAATGGAATCCATATCTGCACTCCCCTGCCTTCCTAATAGCTTGTTACAATCTGGTCAAAAGCAAATAAATTGTTGACGGGAAAAACATGCTGGCACACAAACAGCAAGCAACCAGAACATCTATGGAATCAGTGTTAGTTTTGTAGTGATTGTTCCCATATAATCCATATCACGATAACTAATTTTTGTAATGTACAAAACACCACAAACTTGTTTTTTGTTCTTTCCTACCCTCCTTATTTTGGTTTTCACTTTTTTTTTCCTCCTCCTTTTGCATCTTTAACACACTTGTCTTTTCTCTTTTCTTTCTTCGAGGTCTTCTCCTTTTTTCCTCCCTGCGTCCATACTGTTTGGGTTAGGCTCTTCACAAAGTAGGTATTTTCCCAGAGAACTATCTCTCTGCACTGCACATGAACTTCGAGTCCCTCATTTTATTTTCAATCTCTTGTTGAAAAACTTTGTTTTTTTCTTTAAGAACAATGTAAAAGTGCATATATTTAAAAGACTTACCACTAACATCTTTATTTCTGCGAGGGGAATCCTTCGGTAAAGTACTGTAACACGATACATCTTGATAACTGGAAGAATCTGCTATATCTAGGTGGCTTTCTGACCAACCCTAAGGAATTAAAAATAAATGCACACTAATCAAGACAAAAAATTAGTAGGCAAAGTCAAAGCTGAAAAGCCATTAATTCCTTCACCTATACAATTTTAAAGTTACCTATGTCACTGCATGCATTTTCTGGTTACGAAGTATCAATTAGTCAACAGGCACACATCAGTCAGACACATGAGTTACAGTAAAGACTGTCTGCAGTGCAATCAAGATGCAGACATACTGACACTGACTTTGATTTAGCTAGCTTAAATAACAATAGCAAAGCCATGGCAGCACAGGCTAGGAGTAAATACCCCGCCTCCCAGATGGAATTGTTCAGCCCACACTGCCTTCACAGCTGCCCCGCTATTGCTGTTCTAGCTACTTGGAACAAAGCTAGCTAGTGTATGTCTGCATGTGCTGTATAATCTCATTTCTACTGCAGTGCAGCCTACATGCATAAATCTAACCTTCCTTCATTCTTTCCTTGCAAGTTTAGGGTAAAACACTCAGCCTAAACACCCCTAACTCCTGTGCCAAGAAAGAGACAGTCCTTGCAGCATTTTCTTAGTCTCTCTATCAAAGATACATGTCCAGCCACTGCTGCTCACTCATTCCCTTTCTCTAGACAGGAGGAGTTAACAGTTTAGTTTCTTTTGATGTTAGCTTCACAACTGAAAAAAATAAATCTATCAACCTGGCAGAAGCCAGGAAGTGGATATTTCCCAATTAATAGTTCCCCACTGTTCTGCTGAGAACCATTATTATTCTGTCTGGAGGTATTTTATCTCTGCACTGTCAGTTTAATTTCCTGTTTATTTTCCTCAACAACCTCCTTTGATTTTAGTCCATGCACTTATGCAAAATTAATATCCATAAGATAAACTGAGGCTTATAATATAGTCTCAGAAATAATAAAAGAAATAGTTCATGTTCTCTACAAAAACATCCTACAGACTACTTCCTACATTCTCTCTACAGCACAGAAGAGAACCATATTTATGCTAGCTGAAGAAACCATAGTAATGGTTGCAAAAATTTTTTTTAAATGTGTGTTGTTTCATCAGTGGTGTGACTCTGCACAGGAAGTTGACTGCCTCTAAGGATATGTTCTAAATTCTTCTACATCTGTCCAATTCCCTTCCCTTAATTATGTCATATCAGTGTCTGAAATCACGCTTATTTAATGTTGCAATAAGCAGGGCTCAACAAATAATACAATCTACTCGCCTATGGCAAGTAAATTGCAACCCGGAAGAGCTGGGTTCGGGCGATCTGCACATGCGCAGATCGCCAGACAATGCGGCTGGCAAGCCCTGGCAATAAGTATAATGCAAATTACAAAAAATAGTACACCTAACTGAAAATAAATAATATGAATCTAAGATCCAGATAAGGATACATTTCTGTTATGCTGCTTTTTGTTTGTTTTAGAAAAACAAGAGAAGAGGGGATTACTCACTTGTGCAGTAACAGAAGTTCTTCAGGATGAGTGTCCCAATAGGTGCTCCACATCAGTTTGGTGCACCGCCACCAAGCCTTCAATCAGAGTCTTCAGAGCAGCGTCCCTGGGCCCGTGCGCTCATACTGCGCAGGTATCATGCATGCCTGGGCTCCCCCACCACTCAATTCCTTCTCTACCCCAGAAGCTTAACCCCTAAAGGAGGCCAGAATTCCGAAGTAGAAGGAAGGAAGAGAAGGTAGTGGGGCACTCAGAGGGACACTCACCTCGAAGAACGTCAGTCACTGCACAGGTGATTAACCTCCTCTTCAAGAGAGAGATGTCCCCATGGGTGCTCAACATCAGGTGACTTCAAAGCTGTCTCTCTTTAAGGAGGTAGGGATTTCAGATCTGGCATGAAGGTGGCAGATAGGACTGACTTAGAGAATTTCAGGTTAGACAAAGGTCCCTGAGTAAGTGCATAGTCTGGTCTGATGACCATATAGCAGCTGTGCAATATCTGCTATAGGGACCTTTCACAGAAATGCTACTGCGGTATATATAGAATCACAGAATCCTAGAACTGGAAGGGACCTCGAGAAGATATCAAGTCCAGTCCCCTGCCCTTGCAGCAGAACCAAGCACTGTCTAAAATGAGCAGTTCCCAACCTTTTCCAGATGGGGATCCATTTTGACTTGATGTATGAAGCTTCCGAAGCAGAAACAGAAACCAAGGCTGCCGTGGCCAAAATAGGGCTATCAGTATTAAGTGTGCTTTGCCTTCCATGCCTTGAGGACAACCTTGTTGATGAGAAATATGGGATTGGGGGAGAGGTATAAAGATGACAAGATAACCAACTGATCAGGAAGGCGTCTCCTGGGGAACCCTTCCCTATGCCAGCTCCGGAACAGAAACAAAGACACTTTTTGTGGTTCTCAATGGCAAAAAGGTCTGTGGTGGGATAATCCCACTGTTGGAAAACCTACAAGAGGATGTGTGGCTTCATCTGCCATTCATGTTTAGTGGGCAGTGCCCTGCTTAGAACGTCAGTCATGGTATTGAGGTTGCCAGGGAGGTGTATGGCGGTGATCATTACACCATGTTTTAGGCACCAATTCCAAATTGCAATTGCTTCTGTACATAGGGCATGGGACTGGGCTCCGCCCTGTTGATTTATATAAAACATTGCAGTAACATTGTCTATATAGAGCCTTCTGTGATTGTTGTTAATGATAGGAAGAAGTGTCTCGCATCCATATCTTACTGCCCAAAGATCTAGCATGTTTATGTGTAGGACCCTGTGCC